GAACAATGAGGGGAATGGATTGTAAACCCCCCATTAAAATGCCTTTCAGTAACATCGAAAGAATAAACACCGATTTCAAGCTCCCACTATCTCTGAAGGAGCGCCTTAAAAAGGGATGTTATAATGCTATAATTGTGTAAAACAATGACCACGGTGTACATTAAAGCCCAGAACCTCTCCACCTAACAAGTGGGTAATGTGACTGAAGTACTTTGTGAGTATGACGCCTTGGCGAGACATGCCACTGAATTCAGCCAGGCACGAAAAGTCCTTTCACACGCCTTGCCACTCTTCTCACTTTGCGCCTCTGAAGGCGCCCCTGTTCGGCACATGTGGGCTGCCAGACACAAAGGGCGCAGCACCGAGAGAGTTAAAAAAAAGTGTGGCAGTTTTCTTTGGTTCGCGTCGGAAGCTTCCCTTGTCTCGTTAGCATTACGGGATGTTCTTCCTTAATGAACTTGAGCTGATTACTGGGGGGCGGGGATGAGGTCTGTTTAATTTAAGCACACACACACACACAAGTTGTGTCGTTTTACTAACGATGGATTTTTTTAAGTGCCAAGACCTATGTGAGTTCCGTTTCACAGCTTCATCTTATAAAAGGTGAAAATATTAAATTATTCGCGTGGTAATGGCTTTTAAAAGACTAATAGAGTTATTTACCGAATGGACCTTTAAATCTGACCGCACGAAATCTCATTCTGCATTTTTAATATTCCAGGATACCTTTTTACGTTTTTGTTTTAGTGGTGGTTTGTTGGTGATCATGATGATGGCAGTAATAGTCTTCTTGTAAGATCAGGGTTCATACTCTATTTCTAGTTTTCAATGTTGATTAAAACTAACTTTTGATCAAATGCATTGATACATTTTTTTATTTATTGCAAACGCTTTTAATGAATCCAGGATGAGGTCAAAAAAGGTGTGAGGAAGCTTGCAAATGAAAGTCAGTAAACTTTTAAGTTTTAGGTATGCACATTTGTACAACTGCACAATTATTTGTGCATTTTTTCCATTTACAAATTCATTCGAAAAGGAACACTAGTCATTGTTTTTTCTCGTCATGCTTAAGATTTTAAACAGATGGACATGAGATCTTGAGCGATTTTACTTCCGCCACTTTCGCAGGGAAATGCGTAACGTTTTATGGAAAACTCTGTCATTGTCATTTCTAAAAAGGCGTAGCTGAGATTCTGAAACACCACAATTGTACGCTTTACAGGGGACAGTCTTCTTTTTGTCTTTGAATAGGACCTAATCTTTGAATACCTTGTTTTAAAGCTTTTCTTTTTATGCTTTGTAGAATATTGCTAATAAACGACACTCGTTAAGAATAAATGTGACGCACTCCACCTCATCAGCCCAGGATTCACACAGCAAATATTTTTAAATACATGTATCAAAAGAAGCGTTTTTTCCTTTCTTAAACAAGCTATTAGAAAATCAATGTTTTATTTGGGATGTGTGATCTGAGAAACTATGTGTGTTTTATATTCTTTCAGCTTGTACCTTTTCCTTTCTTTTAAAACATGCATTTATTTTCGTGTTTGTCTATATATAATAGATGCATGTTACACTCTTTCCATGTATCCATGAAAGCTCTTTTCAAGCCCACAGCCTTTCCAAGAAAAAAAAATGTATTGGACGTTACTGCCCGCGCAAGCAGCGTAGTGTCGGAGAGCTGTGTTCAGCGCGTTTCAAAATGGCTCCCTGAAAAAAGAAATATTGCAAAGCTATCAAGACAGATGCTACTGCGGGGAGAAATTGGTAAGGAGGGAGCTAGTCGGAGAAAGAATGAGAGACCTGCTTAATCAGTAATTCATCCAAGGCCCAGAATTGGTTATATAAATAATCACATCGTTTACTATATTTATCTTAAATGTGTTTGGATTTTGTAAGTAAAAACTCATCTAATTTAACAGAGAGCTGTTTTTCTGGGTCTTGTAAAGATATTTGTCTTTTTTTCACTGTGGTGGGTTTTTGGCTAAATGTATTGACAACGACAGATCCCTTGGCTATTCTCAGTCCATTCACCCTTTATGCCCTTGCTAGGGGAGTGATCATTGCGTGTTAAAGTTCTCTATTTATTTGCCTAACCTCTAACACAAGGGTCAGCACCCACTGTGACCCCAACAGATTTTTTGACAGTGGTCCTTTACAGATATTGACTAGGGGGTTCATTGTTCCTGTTTACTTGAACTGGTTTTAGTAGTTGTCATCTGTACTGAAAACAAAAAGTAATAAAACAGTAGTGGATGAATGCAAATGTCTTAAGCAAACAATGCATTTTATACAGAACCATGCAGGCCTGATGCAAGGGTACCTCTACATCCAACAAAAGCAATAATGACTCGGAATAGAACCTTTTATCTTTTGTTTCCAACGAGCACAGGCATCATGGATTCCAAATGAGGGAATCAGCAGCAGTAGTAGCAGGAGTAGTGGAAGCAGTTGTAGAGGTAGTGGTGGTGGGAGTAGTAGCACGATCAGTGCCAAAATTAGTAACAGTGGGCTTGTAAAAATATGGCAAACATGTTTACAAGCAAATAACTCTTAATTTCAGGATGAGCAAACAACCGTACAGAAGGAGGAATTCGCTTTAATTTTAAAACAGAATTAAACAGCACTTTAGCAGTTATTAAAAATGAGATACCATTAGAATTCAAAGAGGTTCAGTAACAAACTGAATCCATAAATTCACACATTATTGAAGTGCTTAGATTCCTTCTTATGCCTTTCAGATGTACAAAACATATTGATACAATTTTAATCTGATTTTGTGAACAGAAAAGTGTAAAAACAACTTCAGCTGAAGTGAGACAGAGATTTGGAGGCTTTTAAATATGACAAATATTATTCAGTATAATAACAGTAGTGACTGTACCAGTATATGTAAAATATGCTAGAAGCATTACATTCCTGTGAAGAAACATCTTAACAAAGGCACATTTGGACACAGTTAAGGTGTAATGTATACAAATTTACCTGTCTTCAAAAATATGCTTAGAAAGTAACATCTCAATTAAAAATACATTACTTATTTGAGTCAAACTGGCCACGGTTTTGTCAGGACAAACTAAACGTTTCTGTGTAAGCAAGGCTGTGTACAGAATTCTCTGTGCAACAAGGCAGGATTGAAGTATATTAGAGACACCGCAACAGACAACTATATGTATATCATTCAGCAATTTGTATTAAGATATTAACTACACAAAGCAGCCCAAATTTGATATTACAGTAATTTTAACTATAGTGCTGAATATGACCTAATTAAAATAAATATATTATTCTAAGGAACTGTTGTAGTAGTGGCAAGTAAACATCTTTGTAGTAAAGCAGGACTCTCCCTCTTCAACATTGTCAGAAGAGGAAAAGCAATCTCAAAGCCCTCTGTTGGCTTTTGTAATGCTAAATACACAAATAGTTAATTCTGAAGAACCAGTACAAAAATAATATATCTTGACGCACAGTTTTTACGAAAATGCAAACAAAACACTCGTAGAATCGTTCGTTTTGATTAGAAGCTGTTGGGATTCCCATGATCCATACTGGTAAGACCACCAGTATCTTTATAATTGACAGCACATACAGTAGTTCGAACGTGTGCCTCACATCAGGACAGCTGTTTTCAATCAGATTAGCTCAAGCTACAGTATCAAGACGTTGCACTGAAGATGAGCGTCATTCCTGACACACGTGGCTTGCGGTACTTCTTCTACTTTCTTGATTCTTTCTTTATGTTGGTGAGTTTTAAATCCCCAGTCCAAGAGCAGTAGCAGTAATAAGCTCACTTAACATAAACGTAACGCAAATTATGTATCTATATTCACATGATTCACAGAGTTTTCATGTTCTTTTATTGTTGTGTTTATTTTAAGGGTCAGGCGTGTATTGACCTATCATAGTCCTAAGTATAAAACGATAAAGCAGCTTTAAGGTATTTTACACTGTAGACTAAAATGATGAAAGATTACTTTACTTCCTCACTCACCCCTTACTCTCTGTCTTGTAAATTTATGAATGTGATATTAAAATACATATCTCCAAAGCGTGTTTTACCAAATAAAAAAGGAGGGGAAAAATAAACATTAATTGTGAACACCCAGAAAAACGGGTAAATTTAATACATTTGTATAGTCTATTGTCAGGATCTCTGTACATTCATATTCTAATGTACTGAAGTGCATAGCTTCTCTTGTTCATTCAGTTTTAGCTAACAATCAGATTTAAAGAGACAGTCTCAACATGCGTGCACGGAACAGACGATTTATATATTGATTCAGTTTTGATCATTTAACTCTTCAGATACAATACAAGCTACTTTAATTACATTTAAGCAATATATAAATAAGGCAGCATTTTATGTCTCTCTATATGACAAATTGTTAACTATTTCGCAGGGCATCTTAAGTTTCGATTTGTTAGTAGCTCAACAGATAAAAATCAAAATATTGCATCATCTAGTATCAAGTAAGAATAATGTAAAAAAACATTGTAAGTACGTGATTATAACATAAAACCTTCTGACTCCTGAGCTTTGACCTAACACATTCGTCCAAAAGGAAAGAGCTGGTACTAATAATGATCGATTAAATGGATTACCGATTGATTGAATGTCGGCTCTTTTGCTTTTGTTGAAAAGGGGACATGTCCAAATACGTTCGATGACACAACGGATCTTGCGGGGTTACTGACTGAGTAGAAAGGGTGAGGTGCTTTGTGGAATGTCCATTGTGTCAGTAAGGCGATGCATTGTGACACGAGCTAATAGACCAAGTTCCGGAGTTCTGTCTCGGGTCAAAGTGTGACCAGACAAAATAGCAGCCGCCTATGACCTATGATATATGCAAAATTCGGACCAGACAGCGCTTGTCCAAAAAACAGCTTTCGTGTATTATAACATTTTTACAAACCCGGTTGTAACAGGAGATTAATCAAAACAATTTGCTACTCAAATAGTCGATAAGATGCTAGAGCAAACTATTAAACAGGTTTCCTACCTTTCTGCTGTCCACGGAGTCAAAGGATCTCATGATAAGGCGGATGAAACAACTACACAGACGAAGTGAAAATTAGCAGACAGCACGCTTCTCTTCTACAAGGAGAGCACAACTTTACACAACTCTCGGAGTTCTAAAGCCCCTAACTTTCATACAACTGTCATTTCCGCCGCTCTGTCTCGCACTTTCTCGGTCTCTCTCACTCTGTGAGTGAAAACAAAATAATTCGATATTGTTGTCATGAGGTATCGATCAGGTTATAAAACCTCCAAGGTCTCTGGTGTTTCAAAGTGTAGAGGGGTCCACCACATTGAGAATACATTTGCAGAACAGGACAATTTGAGTGCTTTAAGCAGCAGAACCAGTGTGGTGAAGTTTGGAGTCAGGCTGCAAAACGGTGCCAAGTACAGGACTGGAATAAAGACCAATTGTTAACGCGAAACAAAAGGGGCTGTAATGGGAGCGAGTTCAGCTCGCAGACACACTGAGCAACTTGGAACTCCAGACACTCGTCAAAAAACAAGCTTAAACCAGCTGTCTCCACTAAAATACCATTCCCAGAACCTCTCGTCTTTTTTCCACACACATTAGCCTTCATACGTATTTTTAATTGTTTCTTTTTTTCAAACCCGAAGAGTCAGACAAAAACCTAATTTCTATGTCAAGGTAACAGCTTCTAACATGCTCGTGCATGTTTTCACTTGGTAATTTAATCGTTTTGCTACTTGAATGTGTGGAATTATTTTGCTTCGAATTCTAAGTACTGTCATTTTAAGGGCAGTTTGCGTGGATGTTTTGTCAATGTAATTGGGCCCCCAGTATTTCTAGACATTTGCTAAACATGAATATATCTAGAAAGCAAAACCATGTAAAATTAAAAACGTCGTTCAGGAGGTGTGCATAGGGGATTAAGAACTGCAGTCTTGAAAGCACCGAAAAGAAAACTGAAAATATCTATTGAAGAGTGTATCGACTGCAAATTATATGGATTTATTTTTATTTTTCTCCTTTAAAATTCCACCGCAGTCAACCCTAAAGCCGCGGGAGTACTTCTTGTGTCAGTACAGTTTCTCACAGACTTGAGTTGCGGACTGGATTCAATTCACGTCCTGAGTCTGTTCCCCCCATTGCTGCTATTCAATAGTTAATTAAACCTTAATGGCAGCTGGCGATGAGGTCATTGAAGCCAGTCTTTCTCACACATTTTCATGCAAATCCATTAAACTCTAAACAAATTTAAATAAAACATCTTTGTACTCCTACTGTCTAGGGTTGTCCTTGTTTTTCTTCGGGCACAGAAATTCCTTGTCTAGAACAGCAGTAAACTTTAAAGTGTATTTCATGCTTGTAGACAACAGGTACACTGTCTGATTTTGGACTTTAATCCACAGCTCAATCGTCTGTTTTTGTGGTTCGTTAAAGTTAATCCAATAATAAAAAAAGGAACAAATAACTATGCAACCTATCGCTTACAATATCAGATAGTATATGTGATATACTGCATGAAATAAAATAAATTAAAAACAGAAAATAGATTGTGCTTAACATATTTTACAGATGCTTATTTCAAAGACAATGAAATGATTTTACAGATCTAAGAACAAGAGTTCTAAATTAAACGCAACACTTGTAAGAACAAGTTACAGCATGAACCTTTGTCTGAAGGGACTCAAGGTTAGGGCAGTGATGATTTCCCAGTATAAACTACTAGGAACTCCTCAGGTCTACTGAAATATTGGCCGAGGGATTGTACTGTATGTGGCAGGATTATTTATTATCACATCAGCCTTTTTTTCCTTTTATCAATTACGAGTTATTAAAACAGATTCATATGCATTCAGAGTGGTGCAAAGAGATTAGTTCTTTGCTTGCCATGTTCCCCTTTCTTGACATAAATGTGTCTTTTCTTTATCTTGTGTATTTAAATTGGTCTCATGTCTCCAGCCTTATGCCACCCCCATCCTTGCCACTTCATCTCTTCCTTCTTGCCATCCTCTCTCACTTGCTCAATCACTTCTTCCTTACTGTCTGCAAGTTCTTCCCTTCCTCCTATCCTCAACACAGGCTTTCCAGAACCTGCTTCTTACGATCCTAGTGTCTGTTGGTTTTCATTCTCATTTGCTTATTAACTGACCCCTTGACTGAACCAACTGTATGAATGATGAGACACCTTTAATTATCTTGAGCTCCTACAAAAATGGCAGTTATGTTCTGTATGGTTAAATAAACCATCATTGCGTACTTCCTCCCTCTTTAAATCCATCCCATCCTTCAATTGTGTTCCTTATTTTTTTTGTTCCACTCTCAGATTTTGATTTTGAGTTGTTTTCACTGTTAGATTCCACTAGAATGTTGGTCCTCCCTCCTTCAGTTCTTCTCTCAGCACCTCTTAAAATCTGTCCCATCTCCAGTACATGAGTATCGTCATTCTTCTTATACAAATGAAGTCTTTACTCCCTTACATTTCCTTGAAGCATCATATAGTTCATATTGATTGGATTCAGTAACATACTATACTTTCTGGAATCTGCTTTGTAGTGATTTTAGCTAGGGTTTCAATTGTTTCTAATAAAACTCTTAAAAATAAAAGTGTAATCTTCTAGGGGCACTAAAACAAAAAGTGACAAATCTACTATTCTTAATATATAAATCCCTAAATTTAACATTGTTTCTAATTCAGTGACAGTGGCCTGCCACTATGGAACCAGGAATGATAGTTTTACTTTCTTAATAGATGCAAGTGTTCTACCTGTTTCATACAGGAATTGCCTGATGGCACACCTGAAACACCTTGCGAAACATCTACACCGACACTGAGCCATATGGGTTTTTGAAAGGAAGAAACCATTGCTTTGTTTGTGTTTAACCAAGAGGGACAGTCTTGATTAGCCCTCAGTCTTTTTAAGTGGTAAGTAGGGGTTTATCTTATAGTTCATTTGGGAACTCCTTTCTCACAAAAAACTCATTGGTATGAAATTGGCTTTCCTGTTAAATTTAATTGAAGATTATTAAGTTCCAAGGGGAGGATACCAATCTCTGGCCATGAAGCTGTGGTTTTACAGAAAAAATCACTTCAGAACCCACCTTGTTATTTGGTGGATCATGGCTTTTCTGTTGTCATCCAAATCTCATATTTTGTTGTTTAGATTTTTTAATATTTTGGCTACCTTGCAATTGTTTGTGTAGCAATATTTTTACACTGTTCCATTACATTTTTAGTATTTTGGTCTGTGATCATTTGTTATTTACTGATTATGTGAATCTAAGTGAGTAAAAATAATGTAAGTAAAAACAATGTAATTTTAAGAAACATAAGTCATAACACGCAATGTGAGCTCTTTAGTGTCAAAGGCATCATATGATTGTTCTTCATATCCAGAATTATGTCTATCAGTAGTAAATGTGTGTTAGGGTTTAATTTTAAAAGCAGTTCATAAAACCTGTCTGTGTTATTGAACATATTCTATTTTAGCGTCAGTTATACAGTTTAAAGAAACTTTGGCTGTAGAGTTAAACGACTTCAGTAGTATAACAGCGTCCATTAAGCTTCTTTAATGATCATTTTTGTTGCAGTGATTTCCTTTATACTTTTATTTTCTGCTATGTAATTCATTCATACAAGTAGTGAATAGTTATAATGTTAATAATTTGTAGTATTAGTTTGAAAACGGATTTGTTTTTTACTGCCCCCAGAGAATTCCTCAAGTATTGGAAATCTCTTATAAGTCTTAGAGCTGAGTTCCTTCATGATAATATAGGGTTGGTGAGTAAATCCTTTTGCCACCTTAAGAAATCCCCATTAAACCTATAAACTATTGAACTATTGTCTGAGGTTTAAGAAGTGATAAGAGGTGATAAACGGATTGTAGATTTAGTGTGTTGGAAAACTCTGAGCAATCCCAGGATGGGACTCCGCTGTTAGAATGACGAGTCTCTATATAGAATATATATGTAGCTATATCCTGAAAGAAACAACGACAAATCTTTATACGTGGACAAAAGAGATGTATAATAAGTGAAACAATCACATGCTGGGACAAAGACTTCAGAAAAAAAACAATATCGAAAAACGTTATATCCTTTTTTATCCATAAAAGACACAGATTATTTTTAATTAGTAAACAAAACCTCTATTCTTCAAACCTAACGTGAATACTTCCGCTTGGCAATATATGAATGCATTATTCTTCATTGCTATTTTTAAAAGGCCTTTGCTACTAATGTACATTTTTGACAATACATTTTGTTTGACTGTTAATGCACTGTATGTAATGCAAAAGAAATGTGTTAAAACCATGTATGTTTTTAAATCTATAATGCACTTTAACAGAGGATTAGCGAGGAGTGGTCGCAGTCTTACACACGGCAACGTGACAGAGGCCGGAAGGAAAAGCATAAAGGCAAAGTATGGCATCTGAATAATCCGTTTTGTTGTAGCATTTCGATTATATCTGATTTCGTTTTCTTTTCTGCGTGGATGCTTTTTTTACCACTTCCAAAGAATGCATTCCGTTCAACTGCTTTCATATCGAATGAATTGTAATCCTGTACTAAATGTTCGATATTTTCTTTCCCTAAAACACCATCAGAATCATTTGATTCTATGACCTGGGTGTAGCATTAAAGATCCCCTGTACTGCAGGGTACGTTTTTAATCAGAGATTCCACCGTCGAGTGTTTCACACCCCTGGGATTGCAGCATCGAGGTGTACGGTGCTACTCCGGGTTTAACAAGAACCCAACTGAAACACGAGGATATTGCGGTTAATACATCCAAATAAAATAAGTTAATAAGGTGGATAGAATAAAATAACTGTTTTGTTTCTTCAACATTTCGATCGAAAGCAAAAAAAAGAGCCTGGACGATAGGAGAGATGAATCGTTGCTCTAGGTAGTAAAACTGACGTCAGGTTTCGTTGTGATGTTGGGAACTGTCCAAGGTACTGAGGAATGCTGTAAGCGTTGTGTGGCTTGCTGATCGAGTAAGGACAACTACTTACTTACAGTATCTCAATTAGATCTACTTTGACTATAATGAATAGCCCATGTTGCTTGTTTTATTTTAACTGGGTTTTGGTTCTGTAGCTCAAAGCGGCTGTGGCAGCATTCCAGAAGACATTAACCACGCAGAAAAACAAGGTGAAGTCAGCTAATCTGGAGTATTGATTTCTATTCTAATATGCATTTCGTTCTGTAAAAGAATATAGGTGGAATGTACAGGTTGCAGATTTCAAGACCAAAACTAGATGTATAATAATATAGCTGCTAGTGAATTTTCACGCGAAGAATAAATCGTCAGCAACCACTCCAGACAGTCCAGTGCGTTTTTTTTCTTTTATTCACTTAATAATGTGTTTGTCTTTCACATCACAGCATCATGGCCTTGTTCCTTTTAAACATAATAAAAACATTGTTCATTTTTTAACATAAATCGTTTAGGGGCATTCTGTGGAGATTTTAGTTGATAAAAAGTATCTGCACCTTTTCATGCTTTTCATTCAGGGGTTTTAACACAGAAAAGAACAAGATATTATTTCCCATTATGTGAAAATAGTTTATTCTCCCACAATCATTTGATTTACTCTGTATTTTATTATCACATATTATTTCTCTCATGTCTTTCTAAATTCCAAGCTCCATTATGAACAGACATTTAAAAACATTATATGGAGAATCATGATTGTATTTTATAAAAGATCTCTAGGATTAAGTAGATCTTTCAGATATTGCACAATCCTATCAGTTTTCAACATCAAGTTTTGCTAACAGCCAGTTTATATCTTACAGACACAAGCATATATGTAGTCACTATTCAGTTAATTAAATGAAGCCTAGGATTACAGTACAAAATTAATTTACACTACATTATTTTAGAAGTGCTCAAGATCTGTTTATTTAAATTCATATTATTATTCTAAAGGGTGCAATTGAAAATTCATGTAAACTCTACACTCATTAAGGCACAATTTTCTACAAAGCTCCAAAGAGGAGTGTTACATTGAAAACATCTGTATTCTGAAGACAGAGACATTTTACTGCCTCACACTCTCATTAATTCGTTTTCTCACACTGGTGATTGTCACTGCTCTTTTTAGTTATTGAACAAACATACACATAGTGACCAAATGCAGTTCAGTATATTGAGTGATTGTTTACCTATGCTAGCATCACATATGTCAACTATATTGCATACAAGTTCATAATGAAAAATTACTACTAACAACTGAGACATATATTGTTTGGCTTTCATATTGCAAAATGAATGAGTTAGTGTCTCTCAATTCAGGGGTGTGTCTGATTCTCAGTCCCTTGTTGGAGGAATTAAAGGATCATAAGAACATGAGAAAGGTGACATTAAACAGGAGGCCATTCTGACATCACAGCCTATTTTATAGCTGGTGGGTAATAGATTTGAGAATCTCATCCAGTCATTTCCTGAAAGATGTCATTTTCAAACAAGCCTAAAAAAACACTGGGTAGCTTGTTCTATACTCCCACATCCTTGAATTGGGGGTCCTTGAAGATTTTATTTAGCAAGAAGTTTAAAAAAAAACAGAATAGACAATTCTTGACAACTCAAACCAATCTGGCCAGCTGACCTTACAGAACTGAACAATGTTTGTTTTGTTTTTTACAGTTCATGACTTTAAAATACACTGATTCTTTTATCTATACATCTGTTTGTTCTGCGATAACACACATATTGGGATGAAGGACATATCATCATTTTTCAACGGCTCACTTGTGAAAATGTTGAGGCTCTGGTTTGCTCTTTGATTGTCTCCCAGTGCATTAATGTCTTTGTGGGCCTTGACGTCCATGATTCTGAGGCTTTATCCTGTGGAAAGCAATGAACTGCAAAGTTCACCCAGACTTGTCCATTGCCTGGATGTAATTATACCCAGCAAGCTTGCACATGCTCTTCTGGAGTCCTGGGGTGTGTGCCAGTCTCACTCTGGGTAATCACATGGTGAAGTAGATGACACAAAGTGGGGTCTCTCATTCCCCAGATCGGCATCAACATCCGGAGTCCACAGCAGGACCTGAGGAGACAAGAAAGGGAACAGAACATGAGACTCCACAGCTTAAGATGACTAATGACCTAAAACCGATGGCAACCTATAATCAAACCCAGCCCCCATCTCAGGAGGTTTTACATGCAGTTAAATATTGTCGGATTAAGACCAGACACAACAATGTCTCTTTTCCTTTTTTCTTTTCTCTTTTAAATTCTATTTCTGTTTGTTCACTACACCAGTGTGTCAATAACCCACTGGCACCATGGGCATCAGACAGTGTACATGGGTATTCTTCATCTGTGCAGCCAGACATTTTGGTTGCTGTACTAATGGCACATTCCCTCTTGTGATCTTTGCAGGCCCTCTAAATTAGCAGCTTCTAGCTCACAGCACTGTCTGCTAATGAAATCATCAAGGTAGTCTGTCGTTTTCACACATGAATGGCCTAGCAGGTATTTCCAACAGACAAGAGGTGCTGCTCTGGCTTGCTTGCTCTTTCTCCATTCACAGCTCTACCCTCAGGGAGCTTGATACAGAGAGAGCAGGAGAGAGGCAGGCTGGTAGCTTAACCCTTTATTGCACTGAAAATAATGCAGGTATTGCCATTTTGGCCTTTGTTTTACAGTGTGTGATCAAGTGCTTCTGCACTGTGATGCAAAAGTAAAAATACAAAAAAGTGATCTAGAAAAAGAATTTCTTGGTGACATTAGATCAAATGTTCCCTATATTATTTTTCAGTTTGTTTTTTTTTTTTGTTTCAATGTGTCTCTCTGCCTTAATCATAACACTGATCCTGTCCTGTCTCCCTCCTTCTAAACAAATGTCTTCTGGTCTCAGTGTGTGAGCAGAGCTTCCAAACATCTGATCATCCCATCAGAATAAGTTCTCAGGATGTGAGCAATGCACAGATAATCCATTCGTTTACCCCTCATTCACATAGTAAGCACCTAGTTAGCTTGAAATTGAAAGCAGCGAAAGCTAACGCATTGTCTAACACAGTTAAAGCATTTAACAGGAGTTATAAAAATGTTCCTTTCTCCAATTCTTTTAGCCATTTTGACATAAAAAGAAATTATTCCCTCATGACTATTTAACTCAAGTGTATTTTAACTGAAATCTCCCGAAAACAGCACATTTTATGATTAAAGACACTGAACAAAAAAAAAGAGGGAAATAATTTTCATATTAAATACAAGTCACTGCTCTGGACAGGGGTAAAGTGATAACGGAGTACTTCTCTACCATGCACAGTCCAGATGTATTTAATCTACACCAGCAGTGCAGTTTTGATTATAATAAGATATGAAGTGTACAGTGGCTTTCCTCACAGTTCAAGATGCACTAGTTTAACTCTTTGAGGCTTACAGCAGAAAACAAGATAATGAACTAATTCACAGCCGGAGTAATGTGTTTTGTTCATTTATCGTAATGATCCCCATTTTTAAGGGGTTGTGCATGGCCAGCACCCAAGCATAGTGAAATATCAGACGTGTGACTAGTAAACATAAGTGCTCCAGAGGGATCTCTGCTCAGCTTGCCATTCCATGTGAGATAGTTTAGAAATAAAAGCTCATGGTTAGAAAATTCTACTAGTATTTCTCACACACTGACACACACAATACTGTTAATGTAACAAAAAGAAAGCATGCAAAGTAAAGCTGGGTGGGGGGGGTTCAAATTAAGATTTAAGGGAACCAGACCGACACAAAGCTTTTTTTCCCTTCTGTTTTTTTAATAAGGCCCTCCTTCTTCTACCATCTCTCATTCAAGCTCGGAGCTCATCAATGTCTGATGCCGTTGCAAGCCTGTCCATCAGCCTTAGCCACCCTGGCGGACTGTGGTCAGGGAGCTTTGCCTCCTGTGGCATGAGCAGACAAAAATTAAAGCAGAATTTAATGAGAGACAGAAAGAGACTCTACCCCCCCCCACACACACACACACACACACACTCCCATTCCCTCTCACCAACCCCCACTCCTACTCTCCATCCCTCTTACTATGCCAAAGCTGAAAATCCTCCATTAATTTGTAACACACCTCACGCCTTCTAAAGATGTACAACACCCCTACCATCTGCTCCTCCTTGATTCCAGATAGCTTTAGAGAGATTTCCCACCTCAGCACACAGGGCTATGCCCCAGACAGGGCTGACACAAACACACTGTGCAGTGCTTGCTGAGGGCCAACCCAGCAAAGCACATTACAGTTTACTGTTCCCAGACATAATGTGACAATGAAGCCATTCTCTGTACTACCAGTCTGCTCTAAGGTTATGCCTGTAGGGTGGCCCATAACTTTATTCATCAGCTTGGATGTAGCTTTAAAACTCAAATGCTTACAATGCTTAATCTTGGCTGTGATTTGCACATTGCTGATGAGGTAAGAAGTGGCAGAAAAATACAGCATGGATGAAGTGCAGATTACTTAAGGCAATCTGTGATGGGCTTTTGTGTTTATTTCAAACTTTTTTGAATATAAACAGCGGCAGAAAAACAGCACAGAAGCCCATGTTATTGCTAGTATGTGTCATCTAATAAGATATATTTTCATATCTAGCATGATCTGAATGATTTTAGTATTGCATCTGTTTTCATGACATAAAATTCAATAAAAAAAATCTGAGCAACTGAAAAAATCTGAAAAACACAAATAAAAAAAAACAATTGACTTTGTTATAAAACAAAGAGTTGGGCCTTAGGTGAATAAAGCTAATGATGAAAGTTATGGAGACTCAAATAATCCTAATTTTAATCATGTTTTTCATCATACCGAGACAACTTCTTGTAATCTAAAAAATCTGCAACAATACAGGCTCAAATGAAAACTCATAGCCTTGAACAATCACATGTACGCTGATTTAAGCAGCAGCTCTTTGCAAATCTGTGAAATTGAGAATGATTTTGTTTCTGTTCGCAGTCATTCCCCATTATTTCTAGACTGGTTAATGCACTGCTATCACGTAGCTAGTATTTTCATTAAAAAGACCTCACATACACACTGCATGTTCCTCTAAGATGCTATCTGTAATAATATTGTAAAGTCAGCGTAAATCTCAAAAGATATAATTTAACCTTAAACCTATTTACAATCAGCAGTGATTCAAATCTCACATTTCATTTTGCTGCCTTTTGCTACTTTTACAACTAATAAAGATCTTTCTCTCTCAGTTTGGTATTCATGTACTAAAAGAGTTTCCTCGCACCATCACCCATTTCACACAAGCATATAGAGAGAAGTTTCTGGACAATTTAATCCCTCCAGGGGACTTGGCAGGACCCTTTCTCTGACAATTTTCACCCTTTCCCTCTCTCCTGCCCCCTCTCTTTTTCTCTGGGTCCTCAATGCAGGATTTATTTCTTTTTTATGTACTCTGATATCTTTTTCTCCACCCACCCCCCCACTCCACCCCAGCCAAAACCTTTCAGACAGCATGCAGCTTATGGAAATCATTTGCCTTTTCTTCTCTGTCTTGGTCCCCAGACCTTAAACTTGAATGAGACCTCAAGCAAAAAAAAAAACACAGACCCTGCCCCCACCACCTCCCTTATCCTCCCTTGGTCAAACTCTTAGCACCATTACACCACCTTCAGTTTGTATCAAGACTGAAAACTACACTGGTTCAGCAATTACCAGCATCAGCAAACAGCAAAACTGGCTTTGTTTGTCTGCCTCTCAGCTGAAAGCTCCCCCTGCAGTCATTTCCTTTTGGAAAAACGCTACATCCGACATCGGGTGGGGACATGAACACACTGAAAAATACTTTGCACGACATTTTCGAAGTCTGGCTCAGCGCTGCCCTGTGAAGTGTTCAGGGATTGGAGAAGCCGGGGCCCAGGAGAATGAGATTGTGCAAGAAGTGAGAGAGGGAGGCACAGGCTCTGGAGGAGTGTCTGGGGGAGGGTGGGGGTGACGGGAGCGCTGAGAGACTGAGAGAGCCAGAGTGAGTCTGAAAAGGGCCCGTCAGACACATTGTTCCTGCCTGAAAGTGGACTTTCTGCGCTTCTGCTAGAGGTGCTGTGTGTGCTGGGGGGGGGCAGGTGGGGGGGTAAGTGGAGAATGGGGATGTGATGGGACCTGTTTACTAAAGTCATGGCGAGGAAGGGGGCGGGAGGGGGGGGCGGCTGGCGAATATGAAGTGTTCCCTGAGAGCTGACATTCCCAGGCTCCGAGCCGCTTGCTGCGTGCTTGTGCCTGGTTGCAGGGGGACCAGCCCGACTTGTCTCAGACACTTTGACAGGCCAGCCTTTTCACCAGCACATTGCTGAGCCAGCCAGCTTCTCTCCCCTAGCAACACCACTGAGTGAGAGGGCTCATCCAGCCCTAGGAGGACACGGGGGGCCTGCTGTACAGGCCTGCACTGGGGGAGGGTGCAGAAGGAAGCTAAGATGAAGAAGTTTAAACATGGAGGGCCAAACAAGTGAGCGTTTTTACAGGGGCATCCCAAAATCTTGTGTATACCTAAAAGGTCACCAAACATTATGAACACACTGAGTGTAAAAAGTGAAAGGCAGTCCTGTATATCTGATACAGCAATAGAGAGATACACAGAAAATGTGAAAAGGTGACAATACTATTTAAACACTTTAAAATACACTGCCTGTAGTGTCCTGATACAATGTTAGAAATTCAAAAGTGCAGTGCCTGCATTATAATTGATTTTCCCCATATTATTTGATATCTGTAGCATATTTACCCATTCAGTGCTTCTTAAAACTGGCTTTTCATGGAGCCAAACTGAATATATTAGAGTTCATCGGGGGCTAAATTCATTTACAGGTGTTCGCTTTTTAATGAGAATACCAAGAATAATGTATTTGTTCGAATTGGCTGCTATTTAGTACTGTGTGCTAATTAATTCAAGCACTGAGCAGAAGCTGTTAATTGTCGAAAAAAGACAAAGCTACAAAAATATCATAGTGAAGCATTGGGGGGGGTTCAAATTTAAAAGTGTAATCTTTGTGAGATTTTTTTTTAGTCTAAATGATCATATAAGGCTTTTCCCCCCTGCCAAAAAGTTTCCTGCT